CACAGGCAAATACATCTATATCTTCCCAACTTACAATTTTAGGAAGCTGAATTTTGCTGGCCATATGCACATCGGCTATCTAGGCATCTGAGAAAAAACAGAACTCAATTATCTGCCATAGGTGAGGAATAAAGGTAGGAAATGTGGGCGATTTTTCGCTCTATAGGCCACATTGGCCGAAACTGCCAGGGGACCTAACTTTGCTAAAGAACCTAATAATGCCCAAGTGTTGGGTCTCTTCCGGCAGCTTAGGCCCCAAGGAGTTGGAAAAACACATAAAAGCCAAGTCAAAACGATTACAGCAAAAAATGGCCGTTGGCAGTTCAAAAATCAAAGACTGCACAAAAAGTGCGCACAAGCAAATACATCTATATCTTCCCAACTTACAAAGCTAGAAACCTGAATTTTGCTGGCCATATGCACATCGGCTATCTAGGCATCTGAGAAAAAATAGAACTCAATTATCTGCCATAGGTGAGGAATAAAGGTAGGAAATGTGGGCGATTTTTCGCTCTATAGGCCACATTGGCCGAAACTGCCAGGGGACCTAACTTTGCTAAAGAACCTAATAATGCCCAAGTGTTGGGTCTCTTCCGGCAGCTTAGGCCCCAAGGAGTTGGAAAAACACATAAAAGCCAAGTCAAAACGATTACAGCAAAAAATGGCCGTTGGCAGTTCAAAAATCAAAGAGACTGACTGCACAAAAAGTGCGCACAGGCAAATACATCTATATCTTCCCAACTTACAAAGCTAGGAAGCTGAATTTTGCTGGCCATATGCACATCGGCTATCTGGGCATCTGAGANAAAACAGAACTCAATTATCTGCCATAGGTGAGGAATAAAGGTAGGAAATGTGGGCGATTTTTCGCTCTATAGGCCACATTGGCCGAAACTGCCAGGGGACCTAACTTTGCTAAAGAACCTAACAATGCCCAAGTGTTGGGTCTCTTCCGGCAGCTTAGGCCCCAAGGAGTTGGAAAAACACATAAAAGCCAAGTCAAAACGATTACAGCAAAAAATGGCCGTTGGCAGTTCAAAAATCAAAGAGACTGACTGCACAAAAAGTGCGCACAGGCAAATACATCTATATCTTCCCAACTTACAAAGCTAGGAAGCTGAATTTTGCTGGCCATATGCACATCGGCTATCTGGGCATCTGAGAAAAAACAGAACTCAATTATCTGCCATAGGTGAGGAATAAAGGTAGGAAATGTGGGCGATTTTTCGCTCTATAGGCCACATTGGCCGAAACTGCCAGGGGACCTAACTTTGCTAAAGAACCTAACAATGCCCAAGTGTTGGGTCTCTTCCGGCAGCTTAGGCCCCAAGGAGTTGGAAAAACACATAAAAGCCAAGTCAAAACGATTACAGCAAAAAATGGCCGTTGGCAGTTCAAAAATCAAAGAGACTGACTGCACAAAAAGTGCGCACAGGCAAATACATCTATATCTTCCCAACTTACAAAGCTAGGAAGCTGAATTTTGCTGGCCATATGCACATCGGCTATCTGGGCATCTG